TCGTTGTTTCTTGTGTGTTGGAGTGCTACAATTATAAGAAGGTAATTGTTATATCTTGGAAGTTGATTGCCATTATCCTTAGGCATCGTTGCGGGGCAAAGTCGATTTAAGGACAAAGAATTTAACTCGCACCTCGACTTTGCATCCATTTTCTTAGTATTACTTTGTCCAATTTCGTTGGCATTTTAACTTCCATTTCTTTGGTGTTTATTACTCAATTCCTTGCCGTTACTACGTCTAATTTAGGTAAGGTTGGAAAGTTCACTTTTAAAGAAGTCACTCAAATTCATTATACAAACAAACTTTTGCATATCCATAGTGTCTAGGATATTGTTAATGCATACAATTAACAATAAAAAACTTCAATATAAAAGAAAAACTTACAGTTGAGTCTATTTTTGAAATAAATACTTACACATACTCTTTTATTAAGAAACCAATGGTCCTTCAACACTATGAAAGGATCTCGAGACCAACTAAAGTATGAAATGTAGGCATCTTCGAGAGATTAATTGGTTTCGATTGAAAGAAACTTTTTTCAAAATTAGTACAATAGTATAATGTGAATTCAATGACAAATCCTTGTTGAAATCTCAACCTTCCTTCACCATTAAGAATAAAAATTTTAAAAATGATAAATTAAGTGTGCGTGGTTGGAACATGGCTTGTTTAATTATAAACTAGTTTTTGGTTCAGAAAAGTGGCACCATCAAGAATCACATTTTAGTATTTTACTTCAAAATTCAAGAATATAAGATTATTATATTTGATTATTCAACTCGTTTCTAAATTTGAAAGGAGATGTGCATTAATGAAGAAAAAGGGTTTTAATGTGTATGAAACTATTAAACTTTATATCAATTAATAATATACTATCTCCATCCCATAAAAATAAATTTATTCTATTTTCACGGGAAAAATTAATAAATATATGTTAGAACTATAAATTTTATTTACATTTTTCTACTATATATACCCCTACATGGAATAATGATAATTCATATTTGTTGATAAGAAGATACATTAAATATAAGTATATTAGAAAAGAAAAACATACATATCTTTGTGGGACGAAGGAAATTTGAAAACCTTTATTCTTATTCCCTCGCATGATCATTTATTAGTCATCACTGACTTGATTTCATGTAGAGAATTCTAAATTCTAAAAAGGTTACTTTAATTAAAGTATCCATTCTAAAAATAAAAAAGTAGATTATTCAATTCACTAGGTATTTAGCCATTAATTATTGATGAAGATAAGATTTAAATAAATCTACGAATTAATCTCCAACAATTTAATCTTATAGTTATGATGGGTAACACAGTATTCCAACCAAACATAATATCTATGTTCAAGTAATGCGGTCATCTATTTATAAAATTTTCAAATTTTTGATAAAAATTTAAAATTGTTTTGCTCATTAAGATTTAAAGGAATATATTTGATCATTGTTTAACTGATAAAATTTTTAGACGAGGCAGCTGTGGGTCGTTGAAGCCAAAACTTAGGATAGTGTAAGTGCAATAAGTTTAGGTTATTTTCATTCAATTCTCAACCTATTTCAATAACCCTGGGTAAGTAGGAAAAAAAAAAAGAAAGGAAAAAAGAGAAAGGGTTTACTGAAGTGGTGGCAGACACGCTTTCAGTATATATATTTCAGAAAAATAGTGACTTTAATATGGCTATAAGAAGGCCTGTTCCATTGAACCAGAAGAAGATATACGTATACCCCATTTCAGTTAATCATGGATTCAATATCTTCTGGTTTTTCTATCTCTTTGGTTATTTTTCTGGTGTTTTCTTCTACTGTTTTACATTTGACAGAAGCAAAGCAATTAGTGCAGGGACTCTCATGGAGTTTCTATGATTCTTCATGTCCTACGTTGGAATCCATTGTGAGGAAACAGCTGCAAAAGGTTTTTAAGGATGATATTGGTCAAGCGGCTGGCTTGCTTCGACTCCATTTCCATGATTGGTCAAGCGGAGAGGATTTCTCTCTCTCTCTCTCTCTCTCTCTCTCTCTCTCTCTCTCTCTCTCTCTCTCTCTCTCTTTTCTTAACACACTTTAGCTTATAGGATACAACTATATATAAATATATTCTTCATCTTAAAATAAGTAAGATTTTAGAAGAGATAATAACTAAATATGTTGTTAAAAGTTTATAAAGATTTCGATTCAAGTTTTGTCGATCAATATTTTTGAAAATGAACTCATCATGTATATGATATAATGCGCTAAAGCTAAGAATAAATAAATTATTCAATGATTCTTTTCTCATTAAAATGAAAAATATAACCGTTATCTATCACATCAAGCTATCAAATTTGAATTTTTATATCTTGTGTAGGACTCATAACCACTATACTTTTCATTCTCGTGAAAATCGGGCCCAAACAAGCTCATAGTTTTGTGATAAGGTATTTATGATCCTGTAGTGGACCCCGTTGGGCTCAAATAAAGCACACTTTTATTTAACTGGCCACATATTCTACACTAGTGTAATTGATAATAACATATTTCGATTCTTGGAGACCAAATCAAATCGTAATTTTCATAGGTCACGTATAAAATTTTTTTATAGCATATTAGGAGTCTAATTGTAGAACAAATAATATTTAAGATCTGTTCGATAGTGATTATGAAAATTGATTTTTTGAACGTTAGAGGGAAAAGTAGATCTCACATGTGAGTGAAGAAGTAAAAAATGACGGTTGAAATTGTGAAATTATGGTAAAAAAAAAATTTGATTTTTTTGGATGAAATTGCTACCAAATAGGGGCTTAAGCGATCAATTTAAATAATAATAATAAACGTAAAATTTGGCATAAAATTCAGTGACCCAAGAGAAGAAATTCTTAATATATGATTATGCATACAGGGGTGTGATGCTTCAATTCTTCTAGCCGGATCGGCGAGCGGGCCCAATGACCAGGAGGCACCATCGAATTTGACCTTGAGGGCTCAGGCTTTTAGAATCATCGATGATCTCAGCCGTTTCGTTCGTATGCGCTGATATCGTTGCCATTGCAGCTCGTGATGCTCTATTTCTGGTAAATCTAATATCATGAATATTTTTTTCTAATTTATTAAAAACAATTTTGAATTTTAGATCACATGATTTTCTATGAAATATCGGATCGAGATCAAAGTAGTGCTAAATTGGATCAATTTGCTATGAAGATGTGATGCTTCGTTGTATTAAAACCATTAATGAAACAGTCAAAGAGAGACATCAACATCAAGACAGCGGATTAGGCCTTCCACACCCGTTGGTGTAAAAAAAAAAAAAACAATAAAAAATAATTACTATTATTATAAGCATTTTGTAGCATTACATTGACAAATTCAATATTTTTTGAAGTCTATAAAGTGAATTCGATAAGCTTTAACTAATGTTATTCATTAATAATGATTATGAATAACCCTGGATATTAAGATTTCTTGCCAATAGGTCCCCTAGTTAGCCACCGGCAACTAAATTAATAATAATCACCGATAATAATGAATATCATTATTTTATATTATAAGAAAATCTAAAAATAATTTTAGGAACGAAGGTACCTTACAAGAATTTAAATATTTCCTTTATGTTGGACTTAAGGGTATTAAGGTGGCTCAAGCCCCTATACTTAGATTGGAGCTGCGTTGAGTTTAGGTTGACTATTACTTAGCCAACTTACACTCAATGCATATAGGTCGTGTTGAACCTCTGGGTCTAGATTGCCCATCAACTAACCAATTTACACTTGATGCATAGAGGTCGAGTTGAATCGAGCCTTTTGAGTCTAGGTTGACCATCACTTAAGCCAACATGCTAACTATGATTCTTTTGACTATTGCAGTCCGGTGGCCCTAACTATAGAGTTCCTTTGGGAAGAAGAGATGGACTCAACTTTGCAACAAGAAAAGAAACATTGACTAACCTTCCTCCACCATCAAGCAACACAAGTCCACTTCTTACCTTCCTTGCAACCAAGAATTTCGACCGCACCGACGTAGTCGCGCTTTCTGGTGGCCACACCATTGGCCTTGGCCATTGCACTTCCTTCACTGACAGACTTTATCCCACACAAGACCCTACAATGGACCAGAACTTTGCCAACAATCTTAGAGTCGTTTGTCCCGTTGCTAACTCTTCTAACACCAACGTACTTGATTTCCGATCCCCCAACACGTTCGATAATAGTTACTATGTTGATCTCGTGAACCGACAAGGCCTTTTCACGTCGGATCAAGATTTGTACACTGATAGAAGGACTTGGAGCATTGTTACGAGCTTTGCTAGTAATCAAAGGTTGTTCTTCGAGAGGTTTGTGATATCTATGATAAAGATGTCGCAGTTGAATGTGTTAACCGGGACGCAAGGCGAGATTCGTGAGAAGTGCTTAGTTCGAAATTCTGATAATCTATCACTGTCTTCTGTTTTGAAAGAGGAAAAGGGAAGCTGGTCTGCATTTTGTAGGTTGTTCTTGTTTACTTGTTGAAGTGCTCCTTTTAAGTGAAAATATTTCCAGTAATGTGTGTTTTATTTTAAAAGATGAATGCTTTTGGCAGAGATGGAGACTGAAACAAAAGTTATCAATGTGTAATATAAGCTTTGTTAATACCTACTATAATCTATTGAATAAAGGGTGAGCATTCTAGCTATCAAAATCTGCTTCGTCAGTTCATCCTCCTTTATCCTTTGACGATATCTATATAAAATGCCATATCGAATAAAGATGAAAACATTAACCAACTCATAAGGCATTAGATTGCTCTTTCTTAATAATATTGACATTTTAAGATGAAACCTAAAGTTTTAATAACCTGCAATAAAGGGTGTGAGGTATTTTCCCGTACTCAAAGCCTAACTATACAACATCCAATGAACAACTCTATGCTACTTCTTGCAACCAAAAAAGACGTACTAATTTAGCACATCTCGCATTCTTTTCACGCATTCTACTGAATTGCTTCACCTTCGGAAAAGTCGAAAAGGACAAGATTCCATAGAAATACGAGGAAAAAAAAAATGCTCTGTATTTTTGAAGGACTGAAATATCTGTGACACATGCTAAGTGGAATAATGCAAAAGCTATTGAACAAATTAATCCAAATACACTGAAACATTCGCCACAAATTTGACAGTAGTTCGAGCCTCAAATGTCAAGAAAAATTCAGTCCAGATCTACGATTCCAAAGTTGGAGAGGAGAATTTTAACTTGATCGACAAAGTCCGAGCCTGTTGCATACTCTGTCAACATTCCCACAGCAAAGCCAAACATTGCCCATCTGCTCAATCAATAATTTACACACAAAGCCAGATGAAACATAACCAGACTAATAGCTGAATCCAGTGAAAAATAATATGAATGCATTCGTTCGAAGGCATGTTTGATTTTATTGCACACAAATGGAAAATATCTTTCTTTTGCTTATTCTTCTAAGCATGAATTCCCAAATGTCCTATACATTAAGGCCACAAAAGCATTTAGCTTAGGTGATTCATTCTTCTGTCTATTTCTCTTAGTTCTTTATCATCTCAAGTAAGTTGTTTCTCTGCTTGCTAGCAGAAGAAACATAAAAAAAGGTTTATTCTGTTTCTTCACCACGTTAATTCTGAAAGAGCATTTTTTGGTTAAAAAAAATGAAAACTGAATTTCATTATCTATGTACGAATTGACACGAAACCCTCAAAGGAAGTTTTTGATAAATCTTGTTTTTGGTTATCTGGCAGATCACTCAAACCTCCGGCTGAGGTGAAGAGAATCAAACCTTCATTCATAAGTTGATCACCACTATCTATTTTATTCATATATTTTTATAAGTTTTCAACACGCGATGGAAACGTGTGGACACACTCAAGAAATTGGTTGTGATGTACTTTGTTCACTAAAAAGAATGTCAACTTTAGTAGAGCTTTTCCAATGTTATCTTATGGTTTCTATGCCTCTTAATCATGCTAGGTTTTGTTCATACTGTGTATTTACATTGTTGCAGTATAGGAATTCAATTCAAAGAACCAGAATGTTAAGGACAAGAGAATACAACCTTAAAAAATAATTCCAAGATTCATCTAAGGGAAGAAGAAACAGGCAGCTAGCATTAGCAAGTGCATTGAGGCTAATTATAAAGCACTTAGAGCACCTCTTCTGCAATTAGTTCAGGCTAGATAAAGAGACTGCGACAACTAACAACCTAAGCATGATTTCAACGAAGAATCAATTTTTTGTATGGCACACAACTCAATTTTTTTTCTTTCCTCTTAAATTTTCGGAACTAAAGGGCAATGAGAGCGATGGTAAAATCATCTCGAGATTAATTTTCTCATTAATCTTGTGAGTGTACAAGCAGATGCTAGTATGCCCTCAACTATACTATGAATGGTAGGTAGAATGAATCTCATGTGATTGTAAGATACATGCATTGTCTTCTAATTTTATTCAACAACACAGTCATGTTCATTAATTCGAAAACGTTATTAGGTTCCGAACTTGACACTTGACAGTGATTATTTTTAAACAAAGTTGATTAATGAACAATGACCAATTTGACATGTTTATTCTGAATACCACTGTCTCCCTTCCCCTTTTGTCCTAGTCTCCTCTCGTCCAAAAAAGTCTTCAAATTCCTTCCCATAAGATTTCTCTAGTTTAATGTCTTCCACTTTTACGCAGAAATAATCAAACAATCAAGTCGAATTATAAAACTAAGAAGATTATAGAAAATGAGTTTTAACAGTTTTAGGAATGATCATGTCACACCATCGGGAGAATGGGAAAGCATTGCTGAAATGAATGAGAGACAATGGCATGTACCATTTCTCTAGGAATAGAAGCATTGTTTTACAGAGTACCTTTCTATACATTCTTTTTAATAATTCTTATTTTGAGAACTTAAGATGGGATCAAATATTCATGAAAAAAAGGCATGTAGTTGAATTAAGGGTTCAAGAAAATTGTTTTCACTTAAGAGTTATCCAAATCAAAACACTGGATAGATGGAATGAAGAATTAAGGTACTTAATATCACAAAATCATGTAATGTCATATAATCAATTGGCTGTACTCTCAAGCAAGAAATCGAAAGCAATAAACCGTTTAAAGGCTTTAATTGATGACAACCAATCATCAAAGTAGTGACATTTTCACAGAGGAAAATTTTATTGGAAGACTCAACCATTCTTGTGGGTTTATGATTCTACAAAGAAGTGTCTTCCCACCCATTCCAACATTATAAAAGAACTCTCCAGCTTTATATCTCTTTATTATGTTTGTTCATGATCATTGATACCAACCTAACAACAAATACACACAATCCCAAATGTTTTTTTAGTATAGGCCTGTATTCATGGTCAAAACACACATCAATAAGTATTAAATTCCTCATTGTATAGCATATAACCATTTACAATCAAACCTCTATGTTTTTCAAGTAGCAATTTAACATTGCTTTTGTAATTTAGCCCTTGTTTGATTCTCGTTATTCTAAAAATTCATTTTTTCAAAATTCATTTTCAACCACACATTTTTCAATAAAATAATATTACAGCAAATCCAAAACTTTTCCTTAATTTTTAACCACACATTCTCCATCAATCTACTATTCAAAATGCATTATTTCCCCCAAAATGAGAATCAAAGAAGGGCTTAATTGAGAATCAAAGCAGAATGATTCAACTATCCGACCATTTTCTAACCAGCCTAGGTTCCACTTAGCTAATAAGTAAGAGTGTGTTTGATTGGCATGAAAAATATTACCTAGGAAAGAAAATATTTTCCATCTTTTGTGGAAAATAAAAACCACCTCTACCCAAGGAAAATTAGGCATATTTTCAAAAGTTGGAAAATGTTTTCCATGAAAAAAAAAAGCAATCAAACACTCCAAATAGGAATTTGGGTGGAAAATTGATATTTTTCATGAAAAATAAATGTAATCAAACACACTCTAAATGTTTGCAGCCTGGAAACGACTAAGGAGTTGGGATCAGAAGTCAATCTGGGAACCCAGGGTATATGATTTCCAACAAGCAACATGGTGGGTGAATAATTTTCATCTCAATTATCTTCAGTTCATTATTCAATAACTGAACTTCTATCAAGATTTCAGTAATCCGAAAAATAAATCTATTAAATGTAATCATATAAAAATGGGTCCTATTGTCCTAATCCAATTCCACGAAATATGATCATGAAAACTGAAAGATAAGCAGAGAAAGAGAAGATTATTACCTGCCATTGGCAATTTCATTCTTGCCAATGAACCCAAAGAAAGGGCCCTGATCAGCTTCTTCAAGCTTCTTCTTCTTGAAATACTCTTGCAGCTCCTTAGCCTTCTGTCTCTGAAACTCCAAAGTAATCACACCCTTATCCGCCACCCGCGCACTTGGAGTCGGCGTAGGCGGCGGAGGAGGAGGAGAAGTGACCGGAGTTGACGAAATTGGTGCGGATGGTGGTGGAGATGGTGGAACTGGCTTTACAGGTGGAGGAGCCACTGGTCTTCTAAAAGGGCCTTCAGCCTGAGAGTTCCTGATCGTAAAAATGGTGGTAGGATTGGTTGCAGAGAATCTAAAAGTGGATGATGAAGATGAACAAGGTGAAGATGAGGAAGAAGATAAAGGGTTGCGAAATTTGATGCATGGAAAAGAAGATGATGATGCTACTGACATTTTTTCTATGTATAATTCTTTGTTTCTGGTTTTGTTGTGTACTTGACAATCTTGATAGGTTTGTTTTGTATGGCTGAAGAGTGAAGAACTGGTAGAGAAGATAGTGTGGTGCGTATGTGTTTTTGTGGATAAGACATGGCCAAGTTTGTGCAACGGTGGTTAGCTTACAAGCCACATAAAGTGGCCAACTTATGAATTTTCACAATGTTTACTTTACATGAACCACCTAATCTAAACTTCAAATCATTCAGGATCCAATTAGACCTTTGAATAGTCAAAAATTACTTTTAAAATTATATATTTAAAAAAACTAATTTTAAATTTAGTTTGACAATTTTTTAAAAATAATTTGTTGAGTTAAAAAAAAAAAAAAAAAAAAAAAACTGATCTTATAAACTATTTGACATGACCCTTGAAAAGTCAAAGACCATTTATGAAATTAACAAACTACTTTTCAATATGTTCGAATAATTTTTTGAAAATACTTTGTCTGATTAAAAGAACTTTGAAAAGATATTGACCTGAGACAATTTTCTCAAGAAGCTTTTCTACATAAAGCGAAAGCAAAAATAGATGTCATGCCAAAGTGTCAAGTCCCCTTACGTAGTAGAGAGAGCTTCAGCCTTCACGTGAGAACAATGGTCTTCGAAAAATACGATGTAATAGTAAAATTTAAAACAAGAACGGTCTGGCATAGCATTTAAACCAGAGCTAAATAAATGAACATATAGACTTGCCAAAATAGTCATTTCCAGTGAATAAGCAATATATGTTTGATTCACACACTGGCAATCCGGTATAGATAAAAGTATATATCCCTTACAAAATCGCTAAGGAAAGCAGCGAACTGCTGTTAGTTGCAACCCACAGGTAATTTCTGCCTTTTATACCAAATCAGTCCACACAAATTATACATCAGTTTCGGTTAAAAATCATACATGTTGACATCGGCAACTAACATACAGAATGATAATTCGATACATCCTCCCAGCAGAAGAATAGACAGAGAACATTTCAAATCAAGATGAGAAAAATAGAGAATTGAATTTCAAGCAAGAATATAAATGCAAAAGATCAGTCAACAAAAGCCACAGGATATGATCTCTGTTCTTGGGGCCCCAAAAATTTCATTTGTGTTGCTCCGATCGTGACAGAAAGCTCTGATAAGCAGATCTTAACTCACTGCAATCACATAGAGTGCATAATTAACACACTAGACGAGCATTCATGTAAAATAAAAAAAAATAAAAAAAAAAAAGATGTTACAAACAAATGTCGAATATTAATCACTACTCACTACACATAAACAGTGCACATCTCCGTGAAAATAAATTTGATAGATGCAGAACAAACATTAGTCAAGTCATTGCATATAAAGTAGTAATGATTTATGAGCTTAACTGAAAATACAGATGCCAAAAATTGATAAAGCATCAATTAGATCATTAACTCCTATATAGTATATACATAATATTATTAGCAATGACAAGCACGGACTGTGGAAACCAAATCACAACTAAATTACAGAACAATAAGAAGTAAGCCAAGGCAGCATAATCAAATAAAGATAAATCTAACTTTTGAACTATATATAGGTCCATTATTAACAAAAACGATTATAAAACAAATGGAACAGCAAATGGTATATGCACATTACTCATTAGCAAAGCATCTAACTCAACATTGACATCAAATAAGAGGACCCAAAAGTTTAGCATACTAATTTTGGATGCTGATGCTGATATTGATTATATACATGGAAACGCAGAAATTATAAAGAACACAGACTCAAAGCAAGTTACGAAGCTTTATCCCTAGAGTTTTCATCTGTTCTCTTTTTTGCCAGACAAATTCCTTAATAAATTAATAGATTACTAGACTGTAGAAAGACCTTATTTAGGACTTAAGTCCTAATCTTCATTCTCTTTCCCAGTAATACTCATTCACGTTACTTAATTGTTATCAAAACATTCACAGGTCTCATTTCAACATGCCAAAAAAATTCTAAACTTCTTCTAATTAACTTCCTAAGAGTAACATTTAATCATATCATAAATTCATTTCTAAATTTAAGCCCCGTTTGTTTCTCATTTTTGGAAGAATGATAATGAAAAATATAGCTGTTACAGGCCCTACACAAGAGATAAAAATTCAAATTTGATGACTTGATGTAATGTATAACGATCATATTTTTTATTTTAATGAGAAAATAATGGAAAACAAACGGGGGCTTAATGCTATCGAGTTCCTTCACCTATTCATACATAAATATGGATATCCAACATCCTAATACTTACTATAGCCATGTTTGGCCCCCATTAAATTCTATTACATTATATTTTATTTTTCTCTCTCCTATTTTCAACCACACAATCTTCTATGAAATAATATTACACGTAAATCAAAAATTTTTCCTTCTTTTTCAACCACTCATTTTAAAAAAAAAATACTATTTCACCCATTTCCAATCCTAAAAATGGGGGCCAAACAGGGGCTATAATTAGTTTCTTCATAACCCAGCACCCTGTATGGCAAACCATAGCTGGACAAATAGATTTTCCGTAGTAGCAGCTACACAAATATGTAATGGAGAACATCATATCTGTCAGCAAGACCTGACTCAACATGGATAAAATGTGAAAAAAGACTCAACATGACAGGTTCATCATGGGGAACAAGTAATGCATCATTGTTATTATTATCAGCATTTTTATTATTATTATTTTTTTGTGTGTGTCTCTCTGAGAGAGAGAGAGAGAGAGAGAGAGAGAGAGAGAGAGAGAGAGAGGGGGGGGGGGGGGGATGGACCAAGATAACATTGACAGAAGGGACTAAAGGATTAACGCTATGATATCCCAAGGACAAGTTATATAACTAAATAGCACATGATGCCTCCTCTGTAGCATTCATGCCTGTTACATGGGCGCATAAAATGAAGAAGTGAAGGCCATATCTTACCAAGACAATCAGCCACAGCCTACAAACTCCTCAATTCAACTCTTAGTATCTTTTTAAGGGATAAAACTGCTTCTAAAAAGATACATGTTTTGTATAGAACATATAATTGAATGCTAATAGTCTCCTAACAGTCTTGGATACAAGATCAACTTCAATCAATAGCTTTAAGAAATCAACATATATCTCTTTATGCATGATCTTGTCCTGCATCTAAGACTTTCTATGTTGGGAGGTCTATTAATACAGGTATTTTTCTTCTTTTGACAAGCCAAAATAATCATAAGAAAGGAATCAGAGTCTCAAAGGGCTTTACATTCACCAAAAAGGTCTTATGTAAAATTTGGAATACTTAGAATATTAACTAGACTGCCACTTTTAGACAAAATTCAACCAATGTTATTTAGTCCTTAAAATTGTCATTGTTAATCTCAAATTCTGAACTCTACTAGTTTCCCCAACCCCAAAGAGACTTCAAATAAAAGCAGGAACATCAACCGAATTTCTCAAAGGTTCTTGCTTCGATAAGATGGTTTTTATGTGTCTTAAGTTGTCAAACTACAACTTAGCGCCGAAAATTCCAAGCTATCTATATTTTTGAAGCTATAGACTATTAACCAAACTTCAAATCATATGGCAAGCAAATACAACATAAATGATGGCCAGTCAAGTCACAGTAGAACATGTATACGGCATATAAGGAGTGTCATTGATCATTGCAACATTTTTTGGGCTGCCGTGAAAGAAGTTATAATTTGGCATTAACATAATCTATGCCAAACAGCCATTGCCCTGAAAATTTGATAATTTCATAGAAACGCTCATTTTAACATTACTGTGGGCTCTGAATTTCGTGACCTTAGTTATCTAAAAAGCATGAAATAACATATAAGATAATGCAATTCATTACTGCAGGAAAGGAAAATTCTAGATTGCTATATTCACATATCCAGAAATGCAAAAACCCAGAATTATTCTTGAGCTATATTTTTAACATAAAAGAAGCATCCAAAGCTCTCTCACCTCATCTCAAATTCCCGGATCTCATAAAGTTCCCCTCCAGATGTATCCGTCCACTGCACTTTCCTCCTTTCCATTTGACTATCAACAGTGTTACTCTTTCCAGATGATTCTTCATGTTCATCGCCATCACCAATCCCCCCAGTGGTAGTAGGTTGAATGTCATTCGATGGTTTCTTTAAGCTACTCTTGAGATCTATCTCTCTATTCCCATTATCATCATCAACAAGATCAGCTGAATCAATTTCATCCTTATTCTCATCAAAAACAGGAGGCTCTGGCGAGACTTCTTTTTGTTGGCTAGAGCCCACTTTCAGAGGGGACGGGCTCTCAAGTCCTGCGGCAGTGTGACCCAAGCACACAAAGGAGGCACACCCGCGGACAGCCCCATTCTTCGCAGAAGCCAGCTGGAGATCAGGATCTGTCCCTTGGTCCACCAACTGGTACTGATTCCACGGCGTCACTCTCATGGGTTTCCCTTCGCTCCTCTGACCCAAAAAAAGAAGGGTTAGGCCCTTACTGTAACCAGAAGCTGAAGAAGAGAAAAACCCTCCTCCTTCCACTGTCAATAACATCAGTTCTTCTCATCAGTTGCACCACCCAATTACTATCTCTCCACTAAGTTAGCCTCAAATCGACCTAAGTCACCTGTTAAATGAAAAATAACTTCAAAAGATGAAACAAATTAACTTTTTCCCCAACTTTCAGTACAATTACATAAATTTATCGAATTCCTGATGAAATGTCAGCGAGATTACAAAATGGTCTGAGCCCATGTCATTGAAAATGGGGAATATACACCAACATGAGTGTAAGTACTAGTTCTACTTCATTTGATGACATCCTCTCCTCGAGATTTACCAACAATACCACCTTAATACGTTGAGATCAATTAAACAAGCATTTCAAAAAATACAGAGGAAAAGGGGGAAAATACTCTCAGATTCAACTAAAAAGGTCCGTGTCCTTGGAAATTGCCAGCAAATAACCTTCCGTCAAACACATGGAATGAAATTTTAAAGATTTACCATGCTTTTTAACTAAAATTCGCCATATTTTCGCAGCGGCAGCAGCTATAAGTCGAAGATCTCTTTACTATGTAACGGGTAGGGAACAGTAGCAACACAACACAAACATGAATATACTTCACTATAGATTAATACAGGATATACAAAGAAGACACTAACAGCGATCTCCGGCGACAATTCACCGGACCAGCGATGCATCTCCTGCTGCCCACAAAAATCTTGAGTAGACGTCTAAAACCAGTAAAATAATTGTTCGAAAAGTTGAACGAAAAAGATTTCCGCTACAATTATAGGCACAGCTGGAGAATTTATTCGAGTGATGAAATGGAATGAGTGCAAAATTGTCATTACAAATTTAAGGAAATATTGGGGAGAGACTGAATCTGATAGCGGGTCCATTGACATTTTGCTTTTTTAATCATCATCATTCAAATGTCGGGATAGGCGGCTTATTTCATTATCAAGAGATGACACAAAGTAATACTAGTCAATCCGATCTTAACAGTCATTGATTATGAATAACATTATTAAGCCCTTGTTTGATTTTCATTACATTATATTCTATTTTTTTCTCTCCTATTTTCAACCACACAATCTTCCATAAAATAATATTACACGTAAATCGAAATTTTTTCTTTCTTTTTCAACCACTCATTTTTCGAAAAATACTATTCTATACATTAAATTTTCCCCGTAATGGGGGCCAAGCAGGGGCTAAATGTCTCAATGTGAAGCTACAAGGACGTCTCAATATATCTACTTATTTTTACCTGCAATTGTTATTGACGTGGATATCAAGATGTGAGCGACTCAATGCATTTACTTTTTCCTATCTCAAAAAAAAAAAAAAATATATTGTGATGACTTGGGTGTCAAAATGTGTCAGATTTACTGGGAAGTTTCAGTATATCTACTTATTTATATCTTTAATAAAGTTATGATTGATGTCGATGTCAAGAGGTGCTAGGCTTGTTAAGGCATCAAATTGTACCTACTTGTTCATGTAATAACGTCGTGCAATAACTTGGTGGAAAAGTAATATTTTGTTTTCCCCTTTTTTTAATTCTAAAATTTGTACTCTCTCTCTCTAGACGGCTCTCATACTTCAATATGCACCATGCCAAACATATCTTTTCTCAGTACCTGGGAGTTTACTGTTTCATGTTTTATTTCACTCTTTTTGCCATTTCCTCACGATCAGGGGCGGAGTCAGAAAAAATTTTCAGTACGGGCAAAATTTACGGTTAAATTTGAAGTGTAAAAAAATTCTCTTTATAACAAAGTGACTCGTAAAAGGCCTATAAAAGTTTTTTTTGGAACCAGCTTAGTTAACCAAGACCTTCGCTAGGCCTTTTATAAAAAGAAAACAATGGCAACCAACTTAGTAATTTTTCTCCAAACCACTATTTCTCCTACAAACTTTTCTCCCAACCACTCTTTCTTATAGGATTCTTTAACTGGGGCAGCCCAAAGTTGAGTGTAGGCATTGGCCTACACTCAACTGTATATGGCTCCGCCCCTGCTCACGGTCATTCAAAATTATTTAACTTCGCAAGATGATCCTTATTGATTCATACAAAATTTCACTTATTTTATGCTACTCTATTTAAAAAATGTAAACTAGTGATACTTCCTTCTCGCTCTAAATCATCTACTTTTGCAAAAAAGGTGGAGAATTAAGGTGTAATTAAAGAAGAAAGGTTGCTTTTGTTTGCTTGTCTGCGGCTGCTTCGCCTTTAGGCACACCTTCTCTCCCATTGTACAGTCTATTGCAATGATATTCATATGCATGCTTGTATACCTTGTACACCACATACTTATATTGTTTGGTTTAGGTTCTTAGAATATAAATAATAACTTATAAATAAGGTCTTCTTTTTATTTTTTCTGTTTTTTATTTTTTGGTTATGGCATGATGAATCATTTGAGAGGGGAGTCATATATTAATGTGATCTAATTGAGATGCATGGGCGGTCCTGAGGCGAGGCAAATTAGGCTCTCGCCTCAGGCCCAAGATCATAAGGGGCTTCATTCCACCCCAGGATTTTTTTTTTATATAAAAAAAAGGGTTTATTTTCTTGAAAATGATGTGGAATTTGATGAGTTTTGTAAATGGGTGTCTACAAATATTCATTTCGTTGTCTTATTTTTGTACAAAAACTTTGTGAAGATAGATATTTATGTGATTGTATTTCTTAAATCCACGTCGTCGTCTTATTTTTGTACAAAAACTTTGCAAAGATATTACTACATTTTACAATTCTTTCATTCTAAATCTGCTTTAAAATGGATAGAAAGTCATATTTTAATCTATATGTATATTTTTGTTTAATTTTAGTTGATAATAAATCTTTAATCAATTATGCCGATTTCTTAATATGCACTTCCACACTTCCCACAAGTTCCTTAACTCTATGATTAAATCTTTGGTTTTGTTATTTTATAATATAAATCCTTTTTATAATATATTTGGTTATTGTTTAAATGCTAGTTTTAAGTTAGCAATATATCGTATAATATACTGATGAATTTTGCATTTACATTGATTTCTCCAGGGCCTAATTTGTGAAATTCGTCTCGAACCCTGACAATCAGATCGGCCCTATCGAGATGATGATGATCTCTTTCGCCGCTCAACTTTATGACTATTCTGCTCAACATGATTGCCTAAAAAGTTGAAATTGAGTCCATGCCCCAAGCAGCTAGCACCGAAAGAAAGACAAAAAGGTATACAATTATGAAGAAGCAATTGACAACCTTGAAATTTATTCAAATTCGTGAAGTTCATTAGAATTTATGATCTATTAAAATTTGAATTGAGGATACCCCTTTAGACATTGTGCATATAACCAAGAGATTTATTATTTTGCAGGTTTTGTTTATTTAATATGAATATTGCTTAGATTTCAACTATATGTTAATTTAATATCTTTTGAATAATGTTATTCATAGTAAAGATTACTGGTAGTTACCTTGCGTGGTATACACATGACAATTTTTTATTGAGTAAAGCTATTCATAATCGTTTACTGCGATAGTCGCCCTATGTAGCATCCTACATGACGATTTGTGATTTGATATATTAATGTAGTAGTTTTTCTTACTTCATATATCAAATCACTAACTGCCAGATGTATACCACGTAGGGCGGTTACAATAATACATTATTCTTTTTTATTTGATGCATGAATATGGTAGTCTTTTATTTCGTTATGCATTATTCTTTTTACAATCTTTTGAGAATAGTAAAATCGATTTTCTCTTAGAGAAACTATAGCATTATTCATACTAAATATCAAAAAAGTTTCTTTCATACAAATAAGTTAATCTTTGTTTTGGCAAGCTAAGCATGTTTGACCTTTTTTATTTAACTGTTACTCTTCATTTATTCAATAGGTAATTCCGAATCCAATTTGTCAATGTTTTTGCCACGCCGTCAACCAGTTCGAGCAAAGCTTGATACCAATTCAACGAACAACATTAAGATACTGATTTTCGCAATTCATAACTTACCATGTATTACTCATTTATATATATTTATAAAATGTTGAGATAGATGGATAAGTTAAGAAATAAGAAGAAAAAGTATAACATGATATAGTTTACTTGGTCACGTGAGAGTTGTATCTCATTGACGTCGGCCTTAAAAAAATAAAAAGTTTAAGACTTAAATACTCAATAAGAAAATGGAATTAAATCGGAATACAACGAGTGATATAAAAGATTTAAAAAATTAAACCCCCCCCTCCCCGCCCCTTTCTTTTTGTAGAAAAATAGAACTTGATAAAATATTAAAATTTGTTCGCGATCATCTACAACCTCAAGTGAACGACCAATCGGTTCTAAGGTTCTTTTATTGATTTTTAAGTTTTCGAACTTTGCAATGTACCGACATGTGTTCTTGACCAAGTTCATGATAGCTCTAGCTAAGCTAACGAATCTTGTATGATTCTCATGATATGGGTAATTTTATTATAAATTTGCAAACATTCTTTTCATATTTTGTTTGGGATGTTTAAAGTGTTAGGTAATATCATGAATTGTTCTAAAATTGACAAGTCAAATGTAACACACACAAAAAATGCATCAAATTCACACTTTTAAAAGCAACAAATCAATTAAGAAAAAAATACGGTAATTAGGGCATCAAATATATGGTTCTTTATGTTTGATTACGAACATAAAAGAATGAGAATGAAAATGGTTCGATTTGGACAATTTTTGAATTATTTTTAAATCAAATCATTTTACACGAAACCAAATCAAACCATTTTTTACAGTTTGATTTGGTGTAAAACCTAAAATATACATATTTCTCTGGCTTGTATTATTCCTATTTATATTAAAGTGGGGAGGAACTAAAAATCCTTGAATGAAATATCTTGAGGAAGCAGATTCTTCCCTCTAATTGATTTGAGATATTGGATTTATTCTTTCGATTGATTGAAATGATTAAAACCCATAACAAAAATTTGTATTCTATACGCATCTCCAATGCTTTATGCTTATTAAAAAGTATATAAATTGCTAGGATAATATTGAAAATATTTTTACTCAATGCAATCAAGTTGAGGTGGCAAAGGGAGGGGGGAAAATGGTCTAGAGCTCTATCTAGATTCATAAGCGTAGTTAGAAATGTTGACTCAACGAAATTTATATTTAATTTTTTTATTTATATTTTGTATCCAAATTTCGATTTAACTTTGTTTTTATTTTAAAAACAAAAGACACATATAAATAAAGTGCATTATAAATGCTCTAATATAATGATGGTAGAGAATTCCTATGAGATATTATATAATTTACTAAACTTTTCTTGTCTAAATAGAATTTATTCTAATGTTATCATGCTCGTGATATTTTATTCATCCTATATTAATAATTAAAATAAGCTTCTGATTGATACAAATTCTTTAAAACTCATTTCCTTCAAACTTATTTTTAAGCACATATTCTCCCAATAAAATAATTTTGTACTTAAGCCCATAATTTTTCTTTACTTTTTAACCACACACCTTCCAAAATTATCACTTTTCAGGAAATTTATTATAAAAGAATCTACATAAAATGGTCCCGAGTTAAAAGTTTCATTGGCAAATATAAAGTTATTCAAAGATTTGCAAATCATATCATATGGTTAAAATGAGAAACATCAATGATTTTGTAAGACTCACAAAGGAGTAACAAGTTGCATGGGATTCCCTACCATAGATGTTTAATTTTATGAATATTGAAGGTAGGTGAGGTGCATTTTCACTTGATGTGAGGCCTCTAAGGGGAAGAAGCCCCAAAAGGGGTGCATCTGGACTTGAAAGGATTGAACCCCATCATTCCTGTCTCCTTTTTAACTAGTAAAATTGTACCTACAAGCATAAAAGTCTCTTACGATTTCCAGATTACAC